TTTTATAATAAATAATTTTTTTAAAATTTAATTACCAAATACTAAATTACTTTTTATAATAATATAACATAACATTTTTAATAATTACAATTACAAAACAATATACCACAGTACATTTTCAAACTAAGCTAAAGAGAAGACTTGTCCTGTTTCCATTTTCTAAGTGTTTCTCGATTACATTTTTTTTTTAATTTTGGTACATGGTCCCTCAATTATTTTTCTTTTAAGCTTGCGAAGTTTTTAGAAATGGAGTAAATAGTGGCTAAATATAAAACCCAAGATTTCATATTCAAACATCAACTTTAAGGAGTGGTTAGGCTATTTAATATCGGATGGTTCCTCAATTTTTGATATCATAAGAAAATTGACAAGGCTGGGGCCGTAATTAACACTACTTTAAGAGACAATCTCCTTTAAATCTTCAATATCCATAGATGTCTCTTTCTCCTTAGCTACCACGATTATAAGAAAGAGTGAGGTTTGTTATCAAATGTCCACCTTTTATAATTTCTTTTCTATCAAGCAAGCAGGTATGCCATCTACTTCTTCAATCTAGATATCCTCTTATATTCTTTGTTGAGAGTTCATATGTGCATTTACATATATTCTATGTAAGTATAGCATGGACTAAACACATCTTGCGCTCAAATGAAGGGGTCATCAGCCAAATCATTCTTGCTAAAGTTCGTCTCTGTTTAACAGCTAGTAGCTTGAGTTCCCGAACATCATCTGACGAAGTTTGTAAGTATGGTTAATTATATAGTTTTGGTCTTATTACTAGAGCACCTTTTTAATTTATTTCTAAACTTCATGTGGTGCATGAAAAACCATGCTTGGTGAAGCTCCGGTTTGAGAAGGCAGGTGTTCTTTTTTGTCTGTCTGTGTGGGACACATGGTATGAAGGTGAGAAGCTTTTCTTTTCCCCTCGCAGGGCCGAAGTTTTCTTTCCTATTAGGTTTATGTTTTATTGCTTATTAGGTGATTTATGGTTTTTAATTTTTATAAAATTTACAACTTTAAATACAAAAATTATTTAATTTTTTAGTTTTCAATATATTATTATGATTCTTAAATCCCTCATCTCCTCTTCTATCATTTGGATACGTCAAAATAATTAAATGAATTAAAAGTGAAAAATAAAATAAAGTGTTTTGTCTCCCTTCCATTTTCTAATATTTTGGTAACAAAATCAAGTAATTGTCTATCAACTGCACAAATCAAATATACCTTTAGTTGTTAATGTTAAATTTCGTCTTAAATGAAATTTAATTGCATATCTTTCAAAAGTTTGGGAACCATATTATAATAAGATTGTTAAAATTAGGGACTAAATTGATTAAATCCGAAGTTTGAGGTTTAAAGCACGCAAAAATTGAACGTTAAGGGACAAGATTGTCATTTTACCATTAAAATTTGGAATTCTAACGGGTCGATGAACGGCGTTACGATGTCCATCAATGGGGGGATGCTGCTTGGTCTCTTCTTTAAAGTTTAGAGACATTTATGAGTTATTTTAAAGTAAAGGATGATAATAACTTTTATTGTAAAGTTGGTGGATTTTTAGTGGCACTAAGTTAAAAATAAATGGATGATTTTTACAGGTTTAAACTGTTAGGTAGTGATACAAATATAATTGTATATATAATTTTTATATGTAATTTTTATATATTATTAAATAAATAATACAGTTAATTTTATAATTCTTAAATAAATAAATAAAATTAATTATTTAAATAACACATATAATTATACTAAAATATGATAAAAAAAATTAACTTTAAATCATTTTCATAAAGTGTTTATTTATTGTAGGTCCATTAATTATTACATCAGCAACTCCCGTTAGCATTTAACGTCCCATTCTCACGGAAGGCCTGTAGGTGAACAATTTAAGAAAGGTTGAGGATGGGGAGTAAGGCTAGCTTTAAATAAAGGTTAAGGATCAAGCTGTTCCATATCATAAAGGTTAGGGATGGAAAAGGAAATTTACCCAATAGTTAATTTTGGGTTAGATTCAGATCCTCACCATTAGAATTTTGTGCACTTTTTATCCTTCAATACTTTATGTCCCTCAACTTTAAAAACTACATCATTTCTCAATGACATTCAAAATTAAAGTTTATTTCTCTTAATTAAAATATAAAAATAGGTCCCACTCTTATATACCATATTTGATTAAAATTAATAAAAATTCTCATACCCCCACCTTTAATTTAACTTTTATCCTCAAGTGAAATTGTAGTCTTGTCCCCTTCATTTCTTCGTTCCCCGATCGAAGATTCAGGAAGGTCGAATCCAACAAGCAACCAAATTCATGACTATTCTCATAATCGATGCACTGTGCAATTGTTATTATCATTTCTTTAGAAAATGAAATTTCTCCTTGAGCATTTGCCTTGATTAGAGATTTTTGGGTACCGTTTTGGGGCAAAGGAATGTGTAAAGCTCATGTGTATTAGAGGCTTTCTTAGTAATTGAATTGAATTTTTGTTTTTTTGTTAGGAATAATTGTATCCAATATTGTTTGTGTTTGGTCTCGGGAATCGCAATGGATGAGAGAATGAGGGATGTTGCTGAAACGGGTGACATTGAAGCCCTGTATGCACTAATTCAGGAGAATTCATTTGTTTTAGAGAGCTTTGACAGATTTCCTTTCGTTGACACTCCACTACATATAGCAGCCTCTAAAGGGCACATTGATTTTGCTATGGAAATGATGAACTTAAAGCCATCATATGCAAGGAAGCTAAACCCAGCTGGGCAAAGCCCCATGCATCTTGCCCTGTTAAATTGCCAAATTCATGTAGTACGTGAGCTCCTCAAAGTTGATAAAGATCTTGTCCGTGTCAAAGGGAGGGGCAGTTTGACTCCTCTGCATTATGCAGTGGAGAAGGGGAACCTGGATCTTATAGCTGAATTTCTTGAGGCTTGCCCCGAATGCATTACAGATGTGACCATTCAAGGCCAGAATGCCATACATATTGCGATAAGCAACAATAACTTTGAAACTCTGGAACTTCTGGTTTGTTGGCTTGAAAAGATCACTCACAAAGATGCTGACATTTGGAATAAACAAGTCCTCAACGGAATAGATCGGGGAGGAAACACAGCTCTACATATAGCTGCATCCATTAATCATCCTCGGGTATAGATATCCTCATCCACTCTAATTTCCCTTTTTTTTTTCTTTTTTTTTGGTTAGTCTAGTTTCATTAACTTAGCAAAGCTTAGAGTATCAAAGGAAAAAAACAAAATGATTTGATTAGTGGCAACATTTCATTGATTAAAATCTATTTGTTTTTCTATATATGCTGAGCAGATGGTAGGATTATTATTAGAAAGTAAGATGATCTCCAAGAACGAAGTCAATTTGAACGACCATTCAGCTTTGGATATGTTATCCGGCCAAGTTAACAAAAGCGAAACTGCAAACATTCTTCGTCAAGCTGGATGTCTAGAAGCTAAAAGAATTCCTGCGCGTCAAACATTAGCAGAGTCATTGAGAACAAGAATGTCTTGGTCACAGAAATTACGAAGAACAATGGTGCGGCAGAATAACATGATATCTAGTGACATGAGGAATGCTATGCTGGTAGTAGCTGTACTGATCCTAACAGCTACCTACCAAACATGTCTTAGTCCACCTGGAGGTGTTTGGCAGGGTAACTTAGGCGACAACGATTCTGGAAACTCAACGTCGACGGAACCTGCCACTCCCTCAAGTCTACCCAATCTCCGAAACAGGCAGTTCAGCTTGCCTTCTTTCCAAGCCACTAATGCCACTAATGCCACTGAAAGTAAGGTCGGGCTCTCAGTCATGACCACACCTAATTTTATATACTTATATCTTATAAACACTGCAACCTTCTTGACTACAACAAGCGTAGTGTTTCTCCTACTTCCTAATAATACAATAAACCTGCTTACCTTACCAGTCATGTTATTCATTCTCTGCTACTTGCTGTCAATGATGTACCTAGCTCCATTTCCATTTCCAATTCCATTTTCCTCTCTGCTTCAACCATTTGCACCTATTATTGTTGCCACTCTGCTCTTCCTTGTTGTGTGTTTGCCTAAGTTTTTCAATCTTAATCTCCAATCTTAAGGGGCTAGTTTGAATGTTTCTGATTATTAAGATTAATGCATGTTAATTTTCTTTTTGGGTCAGCATTATGCATGTTTTCTTGTATAAGAACTTTGATCATCAAAATGAAAGTTATCGCACGCTTGTATTTGCATTTTGCTTATTACTAGATATCTTCTTAACTAATATGCTACTTTTCATGTTGAGTACTTTTTATCTCCTGAATCATGAATAGACCATGATGTTCCCATTTCAACGATACATTGAGAACTGCCATGCCCTCAACAAAACAAGAGAAATCAAAAAATGATTTCCCACAGCATAGGCATGGTTGAAAAAGGGCTCGATACATATGGCACTAGAGGAAATGACCTTGTTCCAGAATTTGCTACATAATAACTTGCAGTTGCAGACAACTACGGAACTACACCAAATTTTAAGTGACTGCTAACATAAGCAACAAATATAATCCTCCTTATGTAACCCTCCACTGCGAGCTCTGAAGGGCTATACTGTTTTGAAGAAAACTTAAGGAAAGAGAGAATTTTGAGTATACTGAATTGTATTCAATCCAATGAATCACTGCATACATATGTTAGTATATATATATAAGATATTCTAAGTATATGCCTAAAATTTTGGTCTTGACCGTTGCTTGTGACTGTTGCTTGATTTCCTTTTAAATTATGCACTATGGGTAATAGCTAGAGATGCTCTTTCCCTTCTGGTATCTTCTGTATTCTTAGCTGATCCTTTTTCCCTTCTAATATCTTCTGTTTCCTTTCTTAGCTCATAGGCTATTACTTGATTTGATTTCTATGATCTTACTTGTTCTGATTTAGTCTTCATATGTTTGTTAGACACCAACCCACCTGACTTCTAAATTAATAAAGTTATAAATAAATTTTTTATGGACATCTGAGTGTAGGGGAGACATTCATTGTCCCATCATTTGTTTCAATACTGTCTTAAAATTAAAAGATTAATCCAATAATTACATGAGTCTTGATATATTTAAACCACTCTTTATATATATATTTAAACCACTCTTTATATATATATTTTTTCAATATAAAACTTTTGTTCTTTTACACTCATAAGAGAATACATACTTAACACTCTCGCCTTCACTTGTGAGTTATGAAGGCTCTAGTAAGAATATTTTTCACTTTTGTTTTGTTTGACATAGATTCATTTTTTGACATATATATATGGTTCATGAGTATATGCATCATAAACACAACATCGTCCATGAATATACTTATTATGAGTTTACATAATATACACTCACTTTTTTCTAAATCTGATTTAAAACTAAAATAACTATTGGTTATACGAACAACTGGTTCTGATATCATTTGTTGAGGAGACGTCTAACTTAACAGGAAGACATTTGGTGACCCATCACATATTTTGATATTATCTTATAATTAAAAAATTAGTCCAATAATTACATTAATATTTCTCAAACAAATTTCAGTGGTGGAAAATTCGAACCTTCCTTCATGTTTGAGTATTTTCCAACTAGGGAAGTAACCGCTAGGCTAAGTTTTAGTTCCGGATTTTCCAACTAGGGAAACTATCTATTGGGTTTTTGTTTTTCAACCTATTATTAGGGGTAGGCATTGGTATAAGTACACTCAATATTTGTAAGTATTTTATATGTTTCAATAAGTATAATATTTGTGTTATACCTATGATTTTAATGATTACAAAACACATTTGAGTGACTAATTGGTTTATTTAAGTATATAGTTAAAATATCAAAAGATTGCAAAGTAAATAAACTTGGACTGCACTAAAAATGGACCAAAAATGTTAAAAATGTGCAGAGACCCGGCTGTTGAAACTTGCAACCTGCTTTAGAAGTGCAGAGAGTCGGCTCTAGAAGCTGCAGCCCGCTCTATAGGTAAAACTTTCAAGTCCGTTGTTTGGCGCGCATGAAAAACAGACGCAAATCTGGCTTTGACTTTGCAGCCGGTTGTGAGAGCGCATTTAATGCACAATGATCAAGTGATTTGAAGATTATTTAATGTTTTTAAAGTTGGAATCCCAAAGCCGATTTTATACTTTGCAGCCGACTATGGAAGAAAACAGAATGTGCAAGAAACCTGCAAAGTTAGCTGTAGAATTTTTTAGCTGGCTCTACGGAAAAAACAAAATGCAAGAAATTCGCAGAGCCGGTTGTAGAAAAGTTAACTCGGCTGTAAAGAGCCAACTCCAGAAAGATAAGCCGACTGTGCTGATAATTTTGCAACTCGAATTAAGCGACCTACAGAGCATTAAATGACCCACAACGGCTAGTAACGGCTATTTTTTACCATGGAGTTATAAATATGGTTGGTAGAAGATCTGAAACAAGTTTAAAGAGCATTGCATTGAGTATCTTTACCTACCTACATGAGCTTTAACTTGAGTTTTTGATCTTTGAGAGATTTTTACTTGTAATCCTCTTCTTGTTCTATTTGTGAGTGATCTTAGGAGTATGATTAATCCTTCAAGAGTGATCTATAGAGAAGATTCTTGGGGTTTATATGTAAATGGGTGAGGTTTGAGAGAAATACTTATCTTCTTGTAAAAAGATTGAGTGGCTCCTTTAAGCCACCCTTGTTTTCTTAGTGTAGAGTGTGGAGGAAATCCTTAGTGAGTGAAGCCAAAGTAGAGGACTAGACTCCAAGTGGTTGGACTGAACCTCTATAAAATCATTGAATAAACTCGTCTTCTCTACTTTCTTTAATTTTGGTGTTGTAGTTGCAAAATGAGAGAATTTTTGGAACTCCAATTCACCCCCTCTTGGAGTACATTAAGTCAACAACTTGAATGGTTAAAAAAAAGATAAATAATAAATATGAAAATAATATATTTTTAAATATTAAGTTAAGTAATAAATATAAAAATTTAGAATTGGTGTTGTAGTTGCAAAATGAGAGAATTTTTGGAACTCCAATTCACCCCCTCTTGGAGTACATTAAGTCAACAACTTGAATGGTTAAAAAAAA